ATACGTCTAATATTGTATATAGAGAAGCATTACAGTAAAGTAGGTTTTTTAGCTACCCAAAATGACTGTGATTATGATCCAAATCTAAAATAAAAATAAGTATATATTTAAAAAAAAAACGCTGCTCATAGTCACTATTCTACGCGAACGAAGTCGCGGGCACATCTAGTAGTAAAATATTATGCTACTTACAATAATAAATGTGTCACTTCGAAAAGTTACTAATCACATTGACAATAAACTCCTTCCCTAATACTTAAGATAACAAATTACATTTAACAGCTAGATTGTAAAACACGGCCACAAACAACAACTAACTACAAAACACTTGTGAAGTTGCAATCAAAGTAACTGAGCTGACTTAGGTGCGAGCCTTAGAGTGGACTCACCATGAGTTTATTGAGAAACAGGACAATACTATACAAAACTGTAGAAAATTGTAACACAGCATTCTCTGAAAAACCTAAACTTTTTGAACTGTAATCTCCAAATTTCACTGGTGAGTTAGATCACCTGCAAAGTATAATAAAACCTGTCATGTGTCTAGAAGTGAACCATCATGACCTGTTGATGCCCTTGATGAGATCAGCTCATAGAAGTGTGGAAGAGCTATGCTTCGGCACGAACGAATGAGCCAGCTTGACCGGAGTGATACCACGACCTCACAGAAGACCGACGTGATACAACGTTTGCATTGTGTTTCGTCATGTGAGAGAAGTTACCCAATTATCCCCCCCCCCCTCCCCAATCTCTGAATCCCCAAATTCCTAATCCTAAAAGGCCGGTAACGCACTTGTAACGTCTCTGGTGATCCAGATCCATGGGTAACGCTAATTGCTTACTCAGGTGAAAAAAAACTCATACCCCAATTCCAGAATTAACCCTTGAAAATAGTACATGTATCATCTGTCTAACCTGTAGATCATGGACTGCAAAATCTCTTGCTCGAATCGAAAGTCATGCATAAGACTTCCTTGTCAACAAAGCAGTCAAAGAATCAGTAGCCTAACATCAGCAGTCATATAAACTTTTTATCGACCCATTCTTCAACTTTGAATGCGCCCAAACTATGTCCCAAATACGTACTGAGCTCACAAGCTACCTGTGAAACTACATGTTAGTCGTTAAGTTTCCAACTTGTTTCAACTTGTATCAAACAAGTTGCAGCTCGACGCCAACTGTTTCTGCTAATTAAGATAAAAGGGACCAGCCGTCGAATGCTGCTCACATGTGGTGGAGGAAGCTGGTCTTAGATGCTGTGAGTTTAAAATTCTGTTGAATTATCTGAATAGTTATATTATAAAAGAAGTTCTTATTACCTCCGTATATAGTGTCTATATGTTGGGTGAAAATAAAGAAAGCACAAGAATTTAATAGTTGAAAACTGGGTAGTTTCCAGGGTATCAAAATTAAAAATCTAATTAGTCCGTCAGTTAGATAATGAAAAAATATTTGACACGTATTTTTTTATTTTCTCGTAATAAGTTGCAATACTTAGATAAAATGGCGCTAAGTTTAGGAGTGGGAGGTCGTTACGTCATAATGTGCTACCAAATGTGACACGCTGTGACGTCACACGATATTTTAAATTAATGTATCGTCGAAATTATTTAATTTTGTGTCTAAAGTTTTAAATTAATGTACCAGACGGATATTAAAATACAATTTAGGAAACTACCTTATTGAAGTGAAAATTTAATAAGAGCTAGTTTTGAACAATACAAACTTACCAGTTGAATCATCAAGTTTTTATACAATTTAGGTGATATCCTTTCTGTTTATGTACAAAAAGTTTTATTTTTATCTGCACAAAACTTGCAAATCAAACTGATAACTATTCAATACCCACAACCCAGTACCACAATCATCATATTGTGCTCAAAAAGAAAAAAATAATACGATAAGCAAGATTCCAACTATAAAGAATTTTGTGTTCCGAGAGTATATTTGCGAGCCCCGCAAGGGTAAACACAAAACGAGATGAAGATAGGACTCCATTCCTTGGCAAAGGGTTTTTTGTCCTAAATACGTTTCGTCAAAGGGCCGGTGACAAACGGATTCCTGCCTGGGGCGCGGTTGTGGGTACTGAGAAATATACGGACACAAATTTTTGACGAACACACTAGTGTAATATCAGTTACCTGTAGAAGACTATGTGTTAGTTAATAAATCATCGAGAGGACGATCTAGGTATATATAGATATGCGTTCTAGAATATCATAACCTTTTTTGAGTTAGGAAAATCATCACATTTTAATGACTCCTATCGCCTCTGGATAAGACGAGAGAGAGTGTAAGAATCTTACTGACTTAAAAGTGTTCACATAACATTTACATCACATTTAGTAAAAATCTGGCATTAACCATAAGCAAGTAGACATTTCTTTTTTATAGCATAAGCCGGTAAACGTGCAGACGGATTACCTGATGGTAAGTAATCAGCGTCGCCCATGGACACCCTTTTGGGAATTAGGAGTTTAAGGATTGTGGACGATTCGGGGATTGGGGAGACTAGGAAGAGGGGTAATTGGGCCTCCGGTAACCTCACTCACACGACGAAACACAACGCAAGCATTGTTTCACGTCGGTTTTCTGTGAGACCGAGGTATTACTCCGGTCGAACCGGCCCATTCGTGCCGGAACATGGCTCTCCCACACTTAATACACACATAAATTACGTAAAAGTAAAAAAAATAATAACCATTATGTGCCTTATTGAAATTACTTGGGTATTTCGTGCCAGTATAGTGACATTTGTGACCAATGACCTCTCTTCCCCTACAAACAGAACAGTTGACAAGAACCAGAAAGACATCGTAACTGTGTGTAACTGACACATAAGTAATAAAAGACGGTCCCTTCCCAATTCTTCTCCCCTATAATCAAAACGCAAAATCCTCAAATATTCATGGCACTTTCGGTCAAGAATGGCATTCTGGCACTTTTCTTTGAACACTATTATTGCCACTAACGAAGTTTACCGTTCCTTTCCGAAGAAAATAGAGTTGGAATCCTTAAGAAAATTAAGGGTAAAGATCCTTCATAATTCCTTAGAAACCGTGAAATCTTCTTAGGTAAACAATAATAGTATTCATTACTCAGATCACGACTTGTGCTGTGCTGGTCTGTTGTCTCAGGATGAAGGCAGAATAATTGGACAGACTTGAGTTAAATTTGGATTCTGAATTGTTTATTGATTCTGTCATTATGTATTTACTATGTAGATTTTGTATCATAGCCATAACTAACATGGGTCGTATTGTTACGCTATTATTCCATGATGATAGGCTATGTCCAGAACGCCACTTAACTCGTCGAGTACCGTCATTATAGACACAATTATAGAACAATAGGTTGCGGTCACCGGTGACCGCTTGGTGTTTGACAGTTTAAACTGTACGTACCTAATGGAAAGGTACTTCTACCATTATTTACCAATTATTATAACATCGATTTCTTATAAACCAGAGCTTAGTTTACATGATTCTACTGGATAGCATAATCTTCTAATAA